AATGCTATTTTCCATCTGCAGACCAAGATTAAACAACAACAACAACAAAAAACAAAACAAAACAAAAAAAAGGTAGGTATGTGCAAAACTCTGGTGATGTTGCAGCAATTGTTTGCACAGAATAAAATAAAAGAGAGGAAATGTTTGCAGGCGGAGCAGGCGGATTTTTAAAGGGGCGTGGCGGCGTGTGCTGGGTACCACTTCTGACTGAAAGGATGCTGATAGCTTAGCAACAGCGACAAGGAAAGAGGAGGAGGAGGGGGAGGAGGAAGGAGAGGGGGGGTTAATATAAAAAAAAAGAAAAAAGCAGGAGAGACAATGGATGTGCGTTTTTTTTTGTCAGCATCCTCGTTTCACCAGGAGAGAGACTGAGTGACCATAAGTCAGCCACAGGAAGCAGAGTGGGGAATGTAAACAAAGGGTGTGGGCCTTTTCAGCCGGCCTGAGAGGAACCATTACTGCTGCTGCTCATGTAGAAGACTCCACACACACACACACACACACACACACACACATATGATACGAGGCCGACGTTTTAAAGGCAGATTTTTTTGTTTTTTGTGCAACTGTTGCATCCCTTTCTCTCTCTTTTTTCCTTTTAGGCGTGACGTGTAAGCGGACACCACCATGGCCACGCAGGAACCGTCCCCTCCTTCGTCCATGGAGAGCAATAAACCCGGCTTCCCCAAGAAGATCCTGGGCAACAAGCTGGAGGACAAGCACCTGTGCAACTGCTGCCACAACATACTCCGACGGCCGTTCCAAGCCCAGTGCGGACATCGCTTCTGCTCCTACTGCTTCAACAGGACTGTGAGGTGAGTGCAGAGAGTGGTGGGTGGATGAATATAGGGATATATAGGAGGAGGGAGAGGGGGGTCTAAACTTTAAAAGGTCTGAATACGAACTATATTCACAGAGTTGTTACTCTCTGATACAGAACAGCCTCGTCCTGCTTGAGATAAAGTTCAAACAACCGGAAGAAATGCATTAAGAAAACACTGAATTTGTCAGAAAAAATGTGTATTTTTGTTCAATATATATAAAGAAAAACAATACAAACAGATAATTGTATAAAAAGTGATTGAATATAATGTGAAATATACATAAAATATGCTGCCATGTTCCTACAGTAGCCCTGAAGGGACAAACCAAACCCTGGCTCTTTGCAGCCGCTGTACTTTCTCCTTCAGTTTTAAGATTAAATTTTAAAATATGTGACACAACTGTGTTATAATGAAGTACTGTGAAGCTTCAGACGTTCCCTCATCTACAAATATTGTTCTCAAAGTGTAAGAAAACAACAAATATGTCAAAATAATCACAATAAGCTTTGTTTTTGGTCGTGCAGCCTGACGCTAGATGCCACAAAATCCTTCACACACACACACACACTAGTCCTTCACTTCAGTGACAGTAGCTGCACTACAGTGTAGAAAAGTCATGTACTTAACAGAATAAACGTAAAAGTAAAGAAATATTAGCAACTAAATGCAGTAAAAGTACCAAAAAGTAAAATCATCTAGAATGGTTCATTCATCAACGACTTTATACGCCGCTGGGTGGTTTAATCTGTAATAATACATGGTCATTTACTTTACTTTGTTCATAATATGAACCTGAAAAGTAACTAAAGGTGTCAAATAAAAGTATAAAGTAACTGAATTACTCCAGTACTTTTACACGACTGGGTATCTAATGTGTGCATGTGTTGGAGTCTGCATTATATGAGTGTATAATGTTGTTTTATTGCAGTAACGGACCCCAGAAATGCAACGCCTGCATTAAAGAGGATATTTTTGAGGAGCCCACATCGATTTTGAAACAAGGATGTGTGAGTTTTAATGTATTTCTATCCACTTAAAAAGTTTTTATTGATATGTTTTATTGAACAGCTCCAGTTTTAATGCGCTTCTCCATCAAATCGATTGATCGTTTGCGCCATAAAATGTCAGAAAACTGTAAAAAATGCTTTGTTTACGTCCTCAAATGTCTCGTTTTGTCCAAATTTATTCAGTTTACTGTCATATAAAAGCGGGAAGTAGAGCATGTTTGTCATTATTGTTTTAGCTTTACTTTGAACGTGCATGTAAATAACAATTATGATAACTTTATTTATCAGTAACAAGTGAATTTAACATTCAAAACCTAAAAGAAATGTATCATTTAAACATGGATTTACAAATACTGTTTACATATACTCAGTAATCAGAACACTAACCTAATAAGTGGTTATAAATGTCTTCAGGGCTTAAAAACATCTTCTGCGATGAAGATTTAACAGTAATCAGTTTAATTTTGACCAATTTTAACCAGTTTAAACTCGTCTTAGATTAGTCTGTTTTACATCAGTTTCAGTTTCATTTTGACCAGTTTAAATCAGTTTAAACCACTTTTGGTTTCATTTTGACGTCTCTGCTCGGTGTAACAGATGTAGACCTGCTGTAAAAAGATTTGCCTGTTTCTATATATAATATTAATAATTCCAGATGTTTGGGAGCTTTCACAGCATTTAACCTGTTATTTGTGGAAAAACATCAGGTTTATAAATAATACTAAAACTTTACTTTAACCTTCACTTAATGTATAAAACATATTTTACCATTTTCATACTGTAGAGAAAAGTTTAAAAAGGGAAACTGGGAATACAATACAAATGCAAAATCTGAAATTATAGTTTTTAAAATAAATTTAGTGGATAAAAAGCACTGAAGTGCTGTAGAGTCGAAGTTTAAAGTAACATAAAAAAGCAGAAAACTCAAGTTAAATACTTCAGTAAATATACTTAGTTACTCTCCATCGCTGGCAACAGATAGAGATACTTTAAACAATAAATCACATTAAAATGTGCCTTTTTTTAGCCTTTTTGGACCAAACAGTTCCATGTACTAAAGAGAAACATGTCCTTTTATGTTCCTTCAGCTTGATTTCCGTCTATAAACACGTGCAGACAGGACAAGAAATGTCTTTCTGTTCTTCGTAATAATGGATGAGAACGAACTCGCCTCCGAATCCGACATTCACGGCTCGCTGACCTGCAGTCGCAGTTCTCGTCTTCGAGGGGCCAGAAGCTAAAAAAACCTTCCTCGTTCTTTATTTGTGAGCAGACAAAATGTGATTCTCGCTCTTCTCAACGCCCTGAAAGATAAACACGTGTACAGATAGGTCACTGTTGAATATTCGGCTTCCCTCAACATAAATAATCTATATAATCCTTTTTGTTTTCTCCTGTTCTTTAAGGCTTTTCCTGACAATGCAGTTCGAAGGGAAGTTGAACACCTTTCAGCTGTTTGTATCAATGAGAACTGCACTTGGAAAGGCAGCATTAAAGAGTACGAGGTGAGCTGACCTTCGACCCACGCTCAGGATTTTGTTTTTAAAGTGAGAGTGAAGATAATGGTATCAAATGAAACTAGATGATTTAACGCATCCATTGGTTCCAAACATGTCATGCTATCTTGTCGGGAAAGGGAGCTAAATAATGTCCAAAGGTAGGCTACATTTTCAAAGTGGTCCGTTTACATCTGACCTCAAGATATCTGAATGATAATCGGTTCCAGTGAGTCTCATCTTTGCAAACTTGCCCACTTTCTGTTAATACTGCAGTGTTTTGGGTAAAAAACATCCAGTTTTGCCTGTTGTATTTGAATATTTCTGCACACTGGAGTCCATAAACAGTGTTGGAATTGCATAAATTGGGTATGACGGGAAAGCTGTCCAGTTGTATATATTTTTATTATATATTCCAGCATACTGACGGTATCATATGAAACTACATGAACTAATGCATCCATACGTGACAACAATGTCCTGCTAGTACGTTGGGAAAAGGCTAAATAACGCTCCAAAGTTGTAAACTTCCATAGTAGACATTTAATTGTAGAGAAACCAATTTCTTAACCTTGACCTGAATGACCTGATGTGAAATGACCTGTTGTGACCTCTAGGGTAATCCCAGCATTATGAAACTGTAACTAGAGACCGGGGTCATTCAGAGGATGTATGGTTTGATATATTGACAATAAGATAAAGCAGTGGTTCCCAGTCTGGGAGGCGGGACGTGCACAAGGGGTCACCAACGCTTCATTTGCGGGTAAACAAATGTAAAGTAAATTAATAGAACAATGGCCAAGTGTCAGGGACAAGAAAACTGTGAATTTGTAGAAAAAAGAAGCCTATTAAGTCTAAAGAAAGTATAAAAAAACCCAAAACAGCAAATAATCTGCTCAAAATTCA